CAGGAATGCGTTAGATGCTAAGTTTCATAGTTTGAACTACAGAGAAAACAGTTTCTAACTGTGAACTTGATACATTCATTGAATTCAGCTGTCCTCTGTTGCATATTATTTTCAAACTGCAGGGTATGAAGCGACCCTTTGCACCAATGAAGGAGCTAGACATGGAGGAAGTCATCGCGGACATCATCAAGGAGATTGAATGAGAAAACATTACCAGACCTAACCAAGTAGGCATCTGTTCTGATCTGGTGTTTTGCCTTTGATGTTTTGTGCTGTAAGCTCAGAAATGCAGGCTCGTTGTTGTTTGCTTTTGGTTTTCTACTAAAACTCTATTCGAAATTGGCTGATTGAAAATGATCCACGCGGCAAGGGATTTACGTGCAATTGCATAGGCATTGGATTGATTCATCTGTGGATTGCATATGTTTTTTTATTTATAATAATAGTAAAAATAAATTAAATAATTAAAACTATCAAATAGATCTTCCTACTTGAATAGTTGTATAGATACAAAAAGAGGGATTTTTTTTAAAAAAAAAAAAGTTTATGCCTTGAAAATTTGTGATTGTGATAGATTTGTTTTGTTTTGATTTGTTTTTTTAAAATTTATAGAGAAACTTAACATTAACAAAATGATAACAATACTAAACGTTAACCATCAATCAACATTTCAATAAAAATAAAATATATAGAATCACATGGAAATCACATTATTATAGAAAATAGAGTTCCAACTCAAAATTAATAACAATAAAAAAATTGGGAGTAATAAAAATTAAAATTAATAATTCCAATTTTAAAAAAATTGCAAGACCCTCCTCGCACAGCCTCTAAGAGGTCAGGTGATCAGAACCCAGCAAAGCTAGCCACCAATCCAATCAAGAGTGCCGCACCAAAGCTGGAACCGGCACTAGGAGCCAGAGAAGAGGGCGGTTCGCTCTCACCTTCGGATGGGGCTGGTCCAGATCCAGCAGAGGAATCATCATCACCTTTGGATGGGGCTCGCGGAGGGGCGGTTTTCGGCGGGGGGCTGGAGTCTGAGTCGTCGTCCTCACCACTTGGTGCAGGGGCTGGAGCCTTGACCACCTTCTTGGGAGCCGGGGCGGGCGGTGGGGGAGGGGCTTGAGCGGGTGACCCGTGTTCAGGAGCCGCAATGGGCGGTGGGGGGGGGGCTTGAACCGGG